CAGCATCAGTTGCCATGGAGCTCTAGCTCTGCAGCATCAGTTACCAGAGTGACGTAGCGGGTTAAAAAGAGCCTCCTTCATGACACTGAAAACTGACTTTAACTTAATGTTTTGTTCCAGAGTTCAGCCTTCTGACATCAGAGATATGTACAAACCCAAACTGGGCCTTGAGCAGAACCTCTGCTGTGGACTTCGGTAGAGTTTGTTCATCAGGTTACTGATAATTCTACTCAGAGGTGTAATAACAACAGTGACATGGGTGAGCAGCAGCAGAAGTGTGGTGTTCTAAACAGCGAACATGAGACATGACGTGTTGCTGTGGGGGGAGGGTTTGGGTTTGGGTCTGTGTAGCTCTGCTGCCCCCCACCATCAGGAAGCCTTCACTGACTCAACTATTTCTATTTTTAAAGTCCAGCTGGCTGATGCAACAGAGACACTGATGGTCCCACGTCCACAGACGAGTCCAGTCTGGGTCTAGAACCAGCAGCACTACCTAACCAGGGCATACATATACGTATATATTTACACTTATTCCTGTTTTAATGTATATGTCTTGTTGATTTTGTATCTTTCTACTTGTTGCACTGATCCTGTTGCTGCTGTAACACTAATGTTCTCTGCTGTGACATCAGTAAAGGAGGATGTAATAATGTACAGGCGTGGTGTCACCGTTGGACGGACTGATCAGAGGTCTGGATGTCCTCCTACAGGAAACTCTGACCTGTAAACAGCTTCTGCATTCAGAGGCGCTTTCATGATTCGTGTACACTCAGAAATGTGTTTGCTCATGTCCAGCTTTATGTTTCTATTGGAGGATAAACGTTCTCCGCTCTGAGCGGCGTGGTGGCGTCCCAGCAGAGGTACTCACTGTCGGTCTCGTTGCGTTTGATCATGCCTGGACACTCGGCCAGGATGGTTTCTTTGAACGAGGTCACCAGAGCGTTCACACAACACTCCATCAGCTGAGGACACAAAGAACACACAAAACACTGCAGTCAATCCTGACATCAGCACACAGACGGCTTCTGTCATGTCTGGGCTGTGGATCGGACCATAAACTGAACCAAGAACAAAAAACAACCTAAAAGAAAGACGCAGATTCACATGTGACAACAAGTCCAGTGAAGTTTGCTGAACCTGCATCAGGATGCTGAATTATAGCTAAAACGGAGCCACAAGCATCAGAGGATCATATATATACAGCAGCTGGAGGAGTTCTGGAGCCTCCAGGTTGGAGTTCGTCCTCTGAAACTGTAACTCTGCTTAGCATCTGCTTTTCTCTAAATGGAACCATAATGTACCAAATGAACATCACAACGTATTAAAAAGACTGAAACCAGAGATTCACACCAAAGACACATCAAGACTACGTCGCTGGGGCAACAGTTGGAGGAAGAAGTCTGACTCTGTGCTCCAAGCAGACCGGCGCCCCCTGTTGGCTGCTGGACAGAGTGCTGCTTTAAAGCTCCTTCACACTTCTGAACCTGTCGGCTTCATGTCTGAACAACACTCAAACCTACTAATCCACCAGAGACCAGAACTTGGTTATAATTCAGTACAGATGAAGTGGTTCTAGAGGTGACTTGAGCATCCAAGTAGACGATGAGAACGACGGCCTCAGCTCTGCATTTAGCTCACTGTTAGACTCAGGTGGCTTCTCTCAGAATGTCAGTAAACCGACTCACAGTTTGAACCCTTGATCTTGTTCTGACATACGGCACAGACATCCAACAGCTTCCTGTTTTATCACAAAACTGTGTTTGATGTTTGAACTGTCTGATGGTTTTAATAACATTTGAACTGACAGCAATGGACTAGAGAGCATCTAAGAGTTCATCACAGCAGATGTCTGTCTGATGACCATCAGTCAGGATTTAGAAGCTTCACAGTTCAGAGACACGCTGGTGAAGGTCACTATGATCTCCTTAGAGCCTCAGGCAGTGGACTGGTTTCTACACTGGTTCTACTGGATCTCAGTGCTGCATCTGGCACAGTGGATCGAACAAGGCGTCACATGTTTGGATCGGTTGTGTTTCTCTGAACACGTTTCTACAGGTGACAGCTGGAGCTTCTGAATGGACCTGGTCCTGTTGACTCACTTACTGCTTGGACTGAGTTACATTCACGTCGAGTCTCCAGATATCGCAGCGCTCTTTTCTCTTCTTCTCTCAGCTTCGCGTCTGCCTGCAGAGAAACCGAGAATCAACCGTAAACAGACACTGAATTAACCGACCACATCTCCACCAACATTCATCTCAACAGACATCCGGCTGCAAAGGGAAAAGCTTCGAAACACACTCATATTCAAACGGCATTCAGCTCCACAACAACTGGACACGCTGCAGTTCGCACAGCTGCTCGTTTTAGCAGAAGCTGCAGGTTTACCACGAACAGCATCCTACAGTCATCACAGTGTGAATGAACTCGGGCAGCGTCAGTGTTGTTGCTGCGTACATATTTCATGTAGTTCTGGACTCCGTTCTGCTGCAGGTAGGACGGAGCCTGTGTTCTGTAGAACCTCTCTGTGGAGTCCAGGTAGGCTTTCTCAAAGTTGTCTCTGTAGATCTGCAGCTTGTCCTCCGGGTTTGAACATAAATTCACTGATGGAGACAAACACACAACAAAACCTTTAGCGTCTGAGCACTCAGCTGGATGCTCTGGACCTGTACAGCAGGACTGAGGTACACGATGTGGAGCCTTCATTAAAAACAAACTAAAACCCTGATGTTCCTGCACCATCATTTGTTGGATACCAACACAGACAACAATGAACTGTTCTGTTGGTTGATGCCGGCGTTTCTCACCATAAGACTCCCGTACTCCGATGACGAGCTGCGAGTCGAAGGCCTCTCCCAGCCGCTCGGCGTGAACCAGCTTCATGGCGCTGTCCTGCAGCCGGCTCTTGATGTTGGAGAAGATCGACTCGTTCCAGGTGTCCAGCATCAGCTGCAGGAAGCGAGGAAGCATTAGAACTCCACACTGCTGCCTTTACAGCAGAACAGTCACAGTCTGACAGGAGGAGGCATCCTGAACACGCTGAAGCTTGGTTTAGACGATCACGACTCATTCTGGAAAAGCTCCATCTAATAAAACCATCATCTTTAATCATTTTAAACAAGTTTCAAGTTACTTTGGGCGACTTTGAGTCATTCTGAACCAGTCTCAGGTATAAACATGTCGGAACCAGAACCTTGTCTGGTCCAACTTGTCTGGTGTGTCGTCAGGTGTGTCGTCAGGTGTGTCGTCA